TTGATACATGGATTTGGCACGCCTTTTTCGGGGTCCCGGGAGCTCAAAATGACATCAACGTTCCTTGCCCAATCCCCAGTGTTCAACGATGTCCTGCAAGGAAAGGCACCAAAAGTTACGTATGAGGTCAACGGATGTAGGTACGACGGACCATACTACCTAGCTGACGGCATTTACCCGCGATGGTCAACATTTGTCAAAACAGTGCCACGTCCGCGGAGTGCAAAGGAAAAACACTTTGCAAGCTGTCAAGAGGGGTGCAGGAAGGATGTGGAGCGTTGTTTCGGTATCCTCCAAGCTCGCTGGGCGATCGTCAGGGGTGCTACTAGATTGTTTGATGTAGAGTCGCTTCGATCCATCATGATGACGTGCATAAGCATCATGATGACGTGCATCATTCTTCACATCATGATGACGTGCATCATCATGTTGTGAAGAATGATGCACGTCATCATGATGGATCGAAGCGACTCTACATCAAACAATCTGGCAGCACCCCTGACGATCGCCCAACGAGCTTGGAGGATACTGAAACAACGCTCCACATCCTTCCTGCACCCCTCTTGACAGCTTGCAAAGTGTTTTTCCTTTGCACTCCGCAGACGTGGCACTGTTTTGACAAATGTTGACCATCGCGGGTAAATGCTGTCAGCTAGGTAGTATGGCCCGTCATACATACGTCCGTTGACCTCATACGTAACTTTTGGTGCCTTTCCTTGCAGGACATCGTTGAACACTGGGGATTGGGCAATGACGTTGATGTCATTTTGAGCTCCCGGGACCCCGAAAAAGGCGTGCCAAATCCATATATCAAAAGATGTCACCGCCTCCAGAATGATACTTATTTGCTCATTTTCTGTCCCCGTAAGCGCCTTACCATGCACTTGGACAGTTTTTCCACGTCCAGTGCATACAATCAATGCTTCCAATCATCCTAGGAAAGCCACACATCTCCGCCTTCTTCAACAGCCGCTCCAAGTCCATGTGTGTAGGTTTGCGGAGGTACTCAGCGGTGTAGATAGATTCGATTGCTCCACAAAACCTCATCAGGGACTCAAGAATGATTGATTTCCCCATCCTTGTTATCTCATCCACTTGGTCTGCAGATACTCTATATGCAAGCATCCGCAAGGCAGCAATAATTTTTTGCTCAGGCAGTAGACCCATAGCACCAAAATTATCTTTCTTTTGCACAAAATAAGAATCATGGTTGCAAACAGCAATCATGATTTTGTTGAACAAATGTCGTTCCATTCTAAAACGACGTCTAAAGTACGTATCAGGGAATGCACTATTAGGAACAAAATAATCATCCAAGAGTTTCATACCTCGTTGTTGCCTGCTTCTATCAAGGTTTCCGGAACGGCTGGGCCTGCAGATCTAAGCCGTAGCTTGGATGACTCGACGGGAATGTGAGGTTCTGCCCATTCTTACTTCATCATCTCTCCTTATACGCTCCTCATCCTCTTCCCTCTCATTGTTTGCCCCCTGTTGATTGAACATTGCTTCTGATTGGTTAAACAATTCTTCCTCTTCCTGATCGAATTCCCACATCATCCTTGAGGAAGAAGAAGACATTGTAAGAAAGAAGCAGAATCTATGAATAATGATACAGATTTTTGTGAAGAAGGAAGCATAAACTATGAATAATGATAGAGATCTTGAGAAAATTGGTGTGAGATTTGTGAGGATGGATGATGGATTATATAGAAGATTCAGAAAGGATTAGGTTGTACATAATGGCACGTGGCATGCGACAATTCGTTAAAAATCTGATGGAAATTTATCCTCAAAGATTGTGAACAGATTATGACACGTGGCATGCCGTCATTCGTTAAAAATCTGATGGAAATCTATCCTCAAAGATTGTGAACAGATTATGACACGTGGTGCGACGTAATTGGTTAATAATCTTATCAGAAATCCATCACCAATAATTGTATTTTCGGATAATGACACGTGGCATAACGAGTACGATTCAAAAATTTATCGGAAATCCATCCCCAATAATTGTCTTTTCGGATTTTATGACAAGTGGCGTAACGACAACGATTAAAAATCTTATCCGAAATTACAAATAAAATTATTTTGTATTATTTAATAATATTTCAGATAATGACACGTGGCGCAACGAAAACGATTAAAAATCTTATCCGATATTACAATTAAAATTATTTTGTATTATTTTATAAATAAAAAAAATACTAATATTTTATTGCCTATGCCAGGGTTATTGAAGTGTAACGGTGGAGATGCAAATGCTATTACTAGGGCTATTTACTGTTCATTAAGGGCAATTACTGTTCATTAGGTGGATTGAATAGTGCATTGCCTGGGGGGAGGGCTCCAACGTTGGAGTTGCTCTTATCTTCTTCCTCATTTTTGCCCACAGCCTTGTGTAACTCACCCTTAAATGCGATTTTTCCTTTCAAACTCATGAAAGGTCTCCGCAATTCCATCCCCAAATTTTAAAGCATTAAAAGCTTAATCCACATTCACCTGCAACAACTTCAGATCAGCAGAACAACCTGCAACTGCTCAAACCCAGGTTGAAACATGCAATCGTGACTTCCAAATCGCGTAGCTCGCGGGCATCGGTTTCAGCCCAAGCCTTCTAACCTTATCGTAGTGGGTCGTTCTACGAAGGAAAGGGAGTGGGGGAGGTCACGTTCGAAGGAGTATTTTTGGTGAATTTCTTTTTTAATGTCATCTTGCAAGCCTCTATTGTAGGGGAAAAACCTAGCCAACCACCACACGGTTGGGTGGCCTTTTTTGTTGAGCTTTTCAAATCTAACGTTCGGTTGCCTTTGCGGGTCCATCGTGTCATAACCCACGCCGATTTTTCAAAGTTGACCTTTGCCTTGACCTTATCTGACGTGTCTCGTGGTCTGTTATGAGTTTTCTAACTTAAATACAACTTTCCCCTTTTTTTCTTTGTAGTTGATTGGCCTAGGCAGATCCCCTTCTTCGAGGAAAATGAGCTTTAGTTGGTGGTCATCACTTATTTGTCTTCTAGAGAAATTTCAATTACCGTTATCCTAAGTGACTCATGTTTACAAGTCGTTGACATTCTAAGAAGTAAATTGCATGGTCTCTCAATACTTGTCCTTAATCTGAATGAACTCACTTCTACTTGTTCATTTCTAACTCTTTCGTACTTTGCCAAGTAGATTGTCTGCCGAGCTATGGGGAAAAAGACTAGGTCGGCAATAGTAGGTCAGGCGTTCAGCTCAGCAGTCACGACCCTCATCCTCGGTACGTGTAGAGCACCATTTTAGCGCTAGGAGGAATAGATCTTCGGGCAAGTGCCCAGTTGGAAATAATCCATAAGCCCTGGTTCCTAAAAGACTAACAGTCGGTGCCTCCGCTCCTCTGAGAAAAAAAGGCTCTATTTGCTTAATGTCAAGGGCTTTGACACCTTTGCTTCGAAAAGAAGCAAAGTGTTCAACTCGAGCGAGACCTAAGAGGCTTCGTGATCCTTTGGTAGCTAAGGAGACAGAGCTTAGGGCTTCCAGGAGGACCATCAAGACGGTAAAAAAAAAAGAGTGTTAAGCTAGAGCAAAGGAACAAGCTCCTAGGGAGGCAGGTGAGTGCTACTGCCACAAAGAAACTTCAAGCTGTTTTGGAGCTATGGCCTAAAGATACTGCTCGGGCCTTGAAGGAGGAAAACAAGTAGCATAAGAGGGCCTTGGATAAAACCTCCCAAATTGCCAGTTAGATTTTGGGCTAAAGAGGACAACAACTAAGATTTTGCAAATTGGGTTGTTTTGGCCTTCACTTTTCAAGAATGCAAATAATTGGTGTCAAGTTTGTGATCGTTGTCCACGAGTGGGCAATCAGTCCAAGTGCTTATTGGGAAGCAACCCAATTTTCTAACACTAACTTGAAAAACATCCAAAAGATACATTTCGTTTTCAATTTTGTTTTCTTTCATGATACTAGTTTAAAATTTTGTATTTTTAACTATTTTTTTGTGTGTACAAATTGTTAGCTGTGAAAATCCTTGTTTGTAATAAAATTTGCTTAGTGTGTTTTTAATTAGAAAAAGCATTTGTTCTGTTGGATAAAATTCTTATCTTTTCAAAGAAAAATTTTGCTTAGAGAAACTTCTATTGTGAAAAAATAAGTTGATAAAAACAAGTTAGTGACTGAAAAACTTTGGGCTTTTGCAGGTTGCAATCATCCATATAAGGCGGCCCTATTTCATCTAAGACGTGCAAGGCAAATAAAGAAAAACTAGATCCTGCATGCAGCAACAATTCATTCATTCACATCAACTACAACAGTTCCAAGACTATCATATTCCAAAAAATTTAAGTAGTTCAAAGCACTCGAATTTCACGCAGAGGACAGGCAAAGCAGACAAGCAGATATGGGTTCCTAGCCTATCATCGAATTGCCAAGTCTCTAAGATCATTCCTAATCTTGTTTATTTAGTAGTTAACTCCTATACATGTTTCTAAGCACAGTCACAGCAAGCAACAGTTATAAAGTGGGTTTTCAGAAAGCATACTAGCGCAATTCCAACGAAGCAGCAGTTATATATCCTCCAACTGAGATTCTTAAGATTGCTAAAAGATAAAACATAGAAAATGTCAGACATTTGAAAACTTATAAAGCATTTAAACTCGTCGAAGTGTTGGGAGTAGTGAAGATTAAATATAACCTATTTGTCCAAGTTTCTATGATAATTCCTAAGTAAGGATGTCAATTGTCAGTCAGAGTGCAATTTGCTTCAACATCTTAAGAGCCTAAAACTATGCGATGTTGATACTTGATTCAAATAAACAATTTTCTATATGCAAGGTTGCAAAGTCTACTCAATTAACATTTAAGCAGAAGAAAACTCATTTCTTTGTCGATTGATTGGTGTTATCGACCAAGAGGTCCCTTATCTTCTCATTATTATTGACTTCTAGCATATTAACGCATAACTCATATCTCATGAAGTTAACACCTCTGTTTTCAGGAGTAGGGATCGTAAAGGTCTAGCCAGTTCCAGTTTGTTCATAGGCAAAAATGCAGACATTGTAGCCATCCAACACTGAACTCACAATAGGTCTCGTTTGAGCAAAAACAGCCTCTGCACATTTGAAAAGTTCAGCAAGAATGATACAAAGTTCTAGCTAAAAGTTATTCATCTTAAACAATCAACTGCTGAGTATTAGACAGTGCAATTACAAAATCAGCATGAGTTCTCAGCTACCTTGGTTGCCCTCAGGTCTGAAGACATGGTCAAACTTGAACTGCTTTTTAGAGGAGTCAGAACAAATGACCTGCAACCCATTGTCTAGGGAGGATTCCAATCCAACAACGGAACCTGATCGGCTTGAAATATCAGTTTGATTCATAGGTCTAAATCTGCAGAAAACTCAGACGTTGCCTTTAAGCTCAATCAGTTACTTCTTCTTTAAAAGTTCATGTCCAATACCTAGATGTCCCTAAACAAACAATTACAGTCAAAGAGAGGAAGGAAAGTTAGAAAATAATTGTGAGTGATTAAAACAAAAGGTTCACTGGAGGAATTCGTAGTGAGCTTGACTTCATCAGACAAGGCAGTATGCTCTCTCTTCAAGTCCTAAAGCATAAGAACAAAACCATAAACGTTTAGTGAATTTGTCGAAAGATTCAAAACAGAAAGAATATACAAATGCTTCCAATCACTTTCTAAGCTTTCCTCAAAGCGACATTAACAAATCAGCGATCTTCTGCAAAACTGGAAGGACCATCTGACATGGAGAACCTTCTTGAGTTCCGTTCGACGTGCTACTCTCACCAATCAAATCAGAATCTCACTCGAAGGGTTTGGTAGCAATATCTGGAGTACATTCTGAAAATAATGATATAATCAGAGCCTGACTTCAACGACTCCCCAAAAATTTTCCATTTTCTTACAACTTAACTACTCAATTTCAATTCACAGTGTAACATTTTAGTTGAAAAAAAAAAAAATCCCAATTTCTTTCAGAAAATTAAAGATTAAAAAACCAAAGATTGCAGAAATTACCCACCTTTGTCGCTCACGTCACCGTCCAACTGGGTTGTAATTTTTTCTAGGGTTTTAACTGAAGAAAAAGGGGTGAATTCGAATCAGAAAATTTCCCGATTCTAAATTTTCTAGGACTCGAATATAAAATAAAAATTAAAAGAAGCAGTAATAATCGAATCCGAACCTCAAATTCAACATTTTCTTGTAATTCAAAAAAAAATTAAAAAGGGGGCAAATTGAATAAAATAAAACAAAAGCACGAACCTGCGTCAGAGGTCGAAGAGGGCTTGGAGTCGTGATTTGGAACGACGTCCTTGCAGTTTTGGGGAAACATTTCCGGGTGCTCTCTCGACCATTTAACAAGAAATTAAATCAAAAACAAGAAATAACTGGAGTGCGAGAGAGAGAGAGAGAGAGAGAGAGAGAGAGTACCTTCCATGGATTAGGATCACAGCAAGAATGCGAGTTCTAGAGAGAGAGAGAGAGAGAGAGAGAGGGTTGTGAATTTTAGACGAAAATCTCAGAGAGCTAGAGAGAGAGAAAGAGACCGTTAGTTTATAGGACCGGAGGGATTTGTGAGGGGAGTGTTTTGATTGCATTGAAGTTTGAATTGGGTGAATCTGACCCGTCGGTTTAAATGGAAGGGAGCTCTGTGTTTCTAACGGCTATAAAAAGTTTTATCGTTGGACCACTTTGAAATGGCCCAATAGGCCCAGTCGGTAAGAAGGCAAAACCACGCTTAGTTTCACGTCGTCCGTTTAAAAGGACGCAACATTCACGTCGTTTATTAGTAGAACTAATTGCAAAGAGTAATATTAGGAAGATCGACTTTTAAATTAAATTTTTGTAACCATATGACGTGATTATTGATGATTAAATTATTACTTAAGGGTTAATTAACGTACTTATTTTCTAATGTTGACACATCATATGATTTGAAAATTTGATCAAAAAAATTAGTGTGCCTAGCATTACTCAATTGTAAAATAAACTGTGAAGTGTGGTTCTACGTAAACAATTAACGAAAGCCTAATGAACTTATATAAGGGTTGATTAACGTACTTATTTTCTAACGGTGACACATCATATGATTTGTAAATTTGATCTAAAAAATTAGTGTGTCTAGCATTACTCAATTGTAAAATAAACCGTGAAGTGTGGTTCTACGTAAACAATTAACGAAAGCCTAATGAAATTATACACAATAGTAGTTTGAATGGTTCACATTTTAACACTTATTTTAATTTTTAACACTCTTACGAGTAATACAAAAAGATTAAGAGCGATATTATATTTTTTATGATTTCTTTAAGAGCGATATTCTACTTTCCAATAAGACAATAAAGCGTTCTAATTTTCTCACATTAGTATCCTCAAATACAAAACGTAAGCTTCACGCATGCTACATAAAGTGATTAACAAAAGCCTATGAAATTATACACCTTAGTAGTTCGAATGATTGATATTTTTAACACTTTCTTGATTAAGACATAAAGATTGAAAGACCATATCCTTTTATGGAAATTATTTCTAGAACTTTAGGAGAATGTTAGCAACCTTCTCACTTACTTTCTTATTCAACATTTTCACTTCTACTTATGTCAAGTGGTATTCTACTAGCATGCAAACTAAAAAGTTAATTATTTTTTAATTGAAAATCTAAAATTTTAATTATACTAACAAGGGAAGAAAAATTGTAGAATTTTTAATGTAATTAAAATTATAGCTTTGAGTGCTAATAGAGCACACGTGACATTAAAAGAATTGAGAGAGTTGAAATGAGAAAATAAATGAGAAAGTTGCTAGTATTTCTCAAACTTTAATAGTGTTTTTTATAATTATTTCCAAATGTATAAAAGGTATTAATTTTCCCTTGAATGATTTTCTTCCTAATTTCTATAAAGATCATCACTCAAGTCAACCACAAAATGTTGCAATAGGAGGGGCCTCTCACAAATGTAAACAAACGTTGCAATAATGTTGCAACACACTCGTGCGCAAATCCATCTCTCAGCCATCATCTCATCCATCGTCTGGTCATCGTCTCAACCACTCTAGATTTTTGATCCCATTTTGATGTTTGTTTGCTCGGTGACAATGATGATTTTTACGAATATGTGAATCATCACATATTCACAATTATTGGAAATCATAGAGATAACTCTAGTTTTTTCTATATGAAAAAAATAACAGGTAGGCTCAGGACCATTCTGGGCCCTTCATGGCTGCGCCCCTACCTGCTACTGTCAACACTCGTGGGCACTGTAACCTTTGCCGCTGGCTTCACTGTGCCAATGTGGGTATTCGAGCTCGGGAAGCGACGAAGGCAAGTCAACTTGGTGACAAATTGGCCATTCCAAACATTCCTGATATGCAACACCATAGCAATGTGTAGCTCCCTCACCGTTGCAATTGCCCTTCTATGGCACAAACCGGTGATATGAGTTATGCTTGAGCAAAAGTTGGACTACCAATATTAGGCGTAGCTCTTTCGCGGACGCTCGCGGCATTCATGGCTGGTGTTGGGTTGGTAACATGTAAGACTATCTCCAACCGAAGTGTCTAGAGGATCAGAGGGTCGAAAATAGTTCGAAAATTGTCTCTAACCGAAGGCTAGGCCAAATGGCTCGGCCAACTGACTGGCCCAACTCAACTAGCCAGCTAGCCCCGGGCCGGGCCAGAATTTTCATTATTCATGTCAGTTGCATTGTACTTATTCATGTCAGTTATATCCGACAGGAATGATAGGTCAAAATTTCAAATACAACGGCTAGTTGACGTCAACTAGCCGTTATTTTTGAAAATTTTTTTTAACAAATTTTTTTGAATTCTTACTTTTTTTTAAATTCTATTTTTTTTTCCTATAACTTCCTAAGCCATTATACAACATTAAATTAAATTAAGTAACATGAAACAACATTAAACAAACATTAAATAACATTAACCAACACAAAAATTATGTTTGGTCTTCGGTTGGAGACGGTATTTTGTGACAGGGCTAAAATGAGCCCTATGGCCCTCGGTTGGAGATGAAGGTAAATATGGCCCTATATTGATCATTAAAATATTAATATCTTGGAGGGTAAAAAAGCTAGCCCTCTAGCCCCTTGTTCGGTTGGAGATGCTCTAACCTTGCTTGGCTTGCCATATTCGTTGTGATCGCAGGTTCAATCTTCCTCGGCATTGTATTACTGTTGCTTGCCATTAATCATCCCACTGCATTACATGTGTCATTTTTCGCTGTGTTTTCCATATGTTATCGAATGTATCCAAGTACGACGATGTTGACGCTGATTGATCACGAAAGAAGAAGAGTGGCATTCGAATTCGCTATCAATGCTATGGAAAATTACAAAGGCAAAGCATGTTGGGTAGGGTGTGAGAAACAAGGGATCTCTGCGAGTTCTTATGTAAAACAAAATGAGGTTTACGTTGTTACTCCAAAAATGCCATCTTGCATGTACTCCTCCATGTATATGTTCTTTACGTTTTCATGTCAAACGACTTTGAAAGGGCAATAACAAATCTCTAAATGTAATGAGTGCTTGAAATACAAAAGTACACTACTAAATTCAATTGAACAGTTCAATAATCTCGAGAAATATCACCGCCTCCGGAGCAAATTATGTACAAGGATACATATTTGATCGTCTTATCGTTGGGGCTAGCTACTATTCTTGTGTATAAAAGGGTACAACATGGGAGAAGAGACTGATGGATAGATATACGAATCACTGCTTCACGAGCGGCCTTGTGTTGTCCCAAAGCCATTGACGAGCAGAACCCTCCACAAGAGGGGAGACCTGCGTAACCTTAAAAGTCAGTTCTAATATCTAAAACCGAATCCAGAACAACTTAATGATATTACCAAGATAAATTAACTCTATACCCACAAACACGCACACCCGACATGAGCTTTTTATTCAACATAGACACAACCCTCGAAAGAAAAATGGTTTTCTTGATCTGTACTAACCTTCTCCCAAACTTGTGAATGGTAATCATTAAGCCAATCAAACTCCGCAGCAGAAAGCAAAGATAAGTCGATCATTTTAGCCTGCATGGTAAAAACCGTATGAAAAGAAAACCGTAGAAACCATCCCTTCCTTCAACAATAAATCACTAATAAGAACTTGTTAGGGCCGTTCCAACACCAAAGCCATGCTAAAAGTAAAAGCCAGTGTGAATAGGGGGATTGTTCAACTTCAAATTTGGTTTTCTTAGTCAAGGAAAACTAAAAGGTTTCAAGCACTAATGTATTGGTCAGGCACTCACTGAAAAAGGTCATGCTCGTAAGTCATAACCAATTGGACTACTAGGTAACCAAATGCATACCTGTATCGGGACAAATGTGAGTTTTTCAAACCCCAGGTAGCTAATTCCTCCAAAACGATTTGGTGTGTCGACTTCTTTCACAACTAGGAGATTCTGTATGAAGATGAATATGTGGAAGTATGGAACAAGAGTGGAAGATAAATGAGCATAAAATCGTTCTGATTGTAGAGCAACAAGGAAAATTAGCATCAATATTACAAATACAATGTGCAGAGAGAGAAGGGAGGCGGGGATACCTCAATCCGAATGCCAAAGGCATGGTCTTCATAATAGCCAGGTTCATTGCTAACAATCATGCCCTTCTGTAATGGAGTCATATTTCCAAATCGAAAGCTAATACCTTGAGGTCCCTCATGAACATTTAATGCAGCTCCCACACCATGCCCAGTTCCTACCACAGTTAAAACAAAAGTAAAAATAACCGAGGTCATTTCAGAAAGGAAAAAAATTAATGATAATTTGATAGAAATTCAAGGAAAATACCATGTCGATAATCCAGTCCTATCTTCCAAAGGGAAGATCGAGCAAATGCATCTAACACAAAACCAGGCATGTTTTCAGGGAATACTGCCTCATCAAGAGCTATATGACCCTGCAATTGCAAACTCTATCAGAAAACTCAAAGACAATTAGGGCATCAAATTAGTCAGTGTTAGGAGTAGAATAATAGTACATTAATTATATACCTGCAAAACTCGGGTAAAGCATTCTTTTTGTCGCGAGGTAGGTTCACCAAAATGTACAGTCCTAGTTATGTCAGTTGTTCCATCAACATATTGACCTCCGCTATCCAATAGGAAGAGTTTCTTGTCATCCACAACACTACAACTATCTGGTTCTGCTCTGTAATGTATGATAGCACCATTTGCACCAGAACCTGGAATATTATAATTTACATTGTAAGGCATTGAAGAAACCAGAAAAAGAACTACTAACTTCAAAAGAAGAAAGAAAAGCGGAATCCAATATCCAAGTAGTAAGCTTAGGAAATAAGAGCACGCTTATCTATGGCAATGAAGGTAAAAACCTCAAAGAACTACAGTATAAAAAAATGTAACAAAAATACGGAAGTGGCATGCACCGCTTATGGTGTCAAAGCTTGTATCTAGGAAACCAGACTGCGCCGAACGAAATTCAAGAAGTTTTTCGGCAACTTCTACCTCAGTCAATTTCACGTTCTCATTAATTTTTTCCTCCATCCATACCCAAAACTGCACTAGAGCAGCAGCATCTCTGCACATCAAAAAAGAAGGGAACCAAACCATGATATGCAAAGCAGACAAATATGATTATCGGCACAAAGTCATGTTCGGAGGGAAGAAAAAATTACCTTAAATGACAACTCTGCATGCCTTCCAACTCAGAATCATTTTTAACTGCCTTTGCCAAAGAAACAGGGGACACTCTATAAATTCCAGTCGGTCCTCCGGACCAACCATTTGAGTCGTCACTCTTACTTTTTCTTTTACTTTCAAGGCTCTCATAATATCTTTCACAAGCAGAGTTAAAGGTGTTGACAATAGCAGCATTAAGAGAAGATATATCCATCCAAACTTTAGCCCCTTGTGCTGCCAGACTGAAAATGAAAAGTAGGTTTGCTATTATCGACGAAGGTCTGAGAAGACTGAGATGGTAACATAATACAAATTTCAAATAAAGCAATATCACAAATAGCCCGACTGGTACAGCCTACAAATCAGAGACCTCACCTTTCAACTTCAGAAAGAATGGAGTCATATGGCAACAATTCAATGCCTGCCTTCTTCAAGTGATCCATCACCTCTGTGTTCACTTTTGAAGTATCTATAAATAATTTTGCTTTATCAATCTCTACAATCAGATATGCATACATAACGGGTGAATGCGGAACATCACTTCCTCTCTGCAAAAGAAATTTAGCACATCCTTTGAATTAATAAATTAAACACAAAAGCAGGAATTTATGGATAAATTCAAATCATAATTTGAGGCCTCGTTTGGCAGCTCGGACAATAGCTGACAACCAGGGTTAGCATGTCTCTGCCAAAAAAATCTCACAGAGATGTTAAGAGGTATTACCAAGTTCAATAGCCAGGCAACTTCATCAAGCATAGATATAATTATCGCAGATGAACCAGCATCAGCAAGTTCCGACCTCAAAGACAACAACTTTGATGCTACATCTACACCAGCATACTTGAGATCATGTACTCTCACTGGTTTGTCTGGAGGCTTCGGTCTTGATTCATTCCATACTTCATCCACAAGATTTTTATCATAAAGGAAAACCAACTCATGGTTCTTCTTTGCAATACCTTGTTTCAATTCTTCTGCAGCCTCAGAAGAAAACAGAAACTGCTCCCTTCACCATATGGTGGAGAAGGTGGAATTATAAATAAAGCAAGTATGATAAATGGAAAATAAAATTAATAATTAAAGATTCTAATTGTAATTCAGAGGATAAAAATGAATATCAGAGAGGTAGTTAATTTCAAAAATTAGTAGTTCAACAAGTCAAAAAAACAGTAGTGTTCGTTAGTGATAGAAACTTATGAAAAGACATGTTGAAGATCAATTTAAAGAGGATAAGTATTGCTCACAGGATCGATGCCAACTCTCCCACCAGGAGCCAAAACATTATTCAACCATTCAATAGTCGTAGGAACTCCTAGAGAACCTGCCCGCATGAGAATCCAACTAGAGCTCAGCTGCTTTTCAGCCTAATAGTAGGAAATAGTAAAAGCTGTCAAGAATCACACCTCAGCCCAGATGATACACAAAGAGACACCACTCTCCCAACCACACACCAAAAACAAAACTCTAAAGAATTGAGTTATACAATGTGCAGATCGAAAAAAACATAGTAACACAAGAGACCATCATAACAACAAGCATCAAAATGATGTTTTATCTTTACATACCTGAAGAAAGTAGCGCCCATCTGTCCAAAGAGCAGCTTTATCCTTTGTGACGACAGCAGTTCCAGCACTTCCTGTGAACCCCGATATAAAGGTCCTCCTCATATAACATTCAGCAATGAACTCACTCTGCAGACAAAACAGGTAACATAGTATATAAGAACTCAATGCCACTCTAGCTACGCCTACAGGTGAAAAGAACTACAGCATTTTCTTTCTGTTTTACTCATAACTCCCAATATAGCAAACAAAAGAAAAACTTCAACGAAATTTTAATTTTACAATCGAAATGCTTCAACCAGTAAAAACCCACTTGAATAGTTCGCACAACACAAAGCACACCATACCAATCAAACTACAATTGTACAGAAAATAAATGTACAAGTAAAATCAAATCTCGAAATTTCGGAAACAAAAACTCAAACTGACAATCCCAAGTGAATTTGACAACCACCACACCATCCCGGACCATAAAAACGGAAAAAAAGGAAGCTAGTCAATAAAACAAGACTGTAAAATTGAAACAAAAAGCAACAAACTTGCAAATATTAGCTCCAAAAAAATCAAAACCCAGTTAAATTCAACATAAAACACACAATCCAAGAAAAAAAAAATCCAAAATTCAATGGACGAAGACTATAAAATTGAAACAAAACAACAATATGCAAGATATTAGCTCCAAAGTAATCAAAACCCAGTTAAATTCTACATACAACACACAATCTAAAAAAAATAAAAAATAAATCCAAAATTCAGAAATTAAAAAGCTCGTAATTCGTAGTATAATAGCTCAAGCCAAACAAAGCACAATAAAATTCTACAGCCATTAAATTCCCCATGAACAGTAAAACCTCAAATTAAACCCAAAAAGCAACGAAATTTAACCTGGTGAGCATCCTGAGAAGGAATGATATAGGCGTCGATGCCGACGCCGGGCTTCGAGAAGAGCTGGCGGAGGGCGCGTAGCTTCTCGTCGGAAGAATCTGAACTGGATCGCTTGTTTCGGAGCTCCGACGAAGGCTTGGCAGAGATGGAGGAGCAATTTCGGATCGTCATGACCGGAGCTTTTGGAGTAATAGTGAAAATTTTGGGGTGGGACTTGGAATTGTGGAAAATGGGGAGCGAGAGGGGAAGGAAGCGGCGGAAGTAGTGAGAGCGGGCGAAGGGCAAGGAGAGAGGGCGTACTGCCTGTGATGACAGTGAGTGCATCGTAGCAAAACTCAGGGGAGAGAGAAGGAAAGAGTTGTTGAAAGAACAGCGTCAGTTATCAGTCACCACACAGAGAGGGAAGAAGATGCGATTAACAACGACTTGTCGTTTCTTGCCTCCCCTTTCTCTCTTTGTCTCATTTTATTTCTGAAAGAACTCAAAAAAAAAAAAAAAAAATGATCATTGATCTTTTAACTTATTACAACGTGCAATTACGATCTTTTTCGTCAACTATATTCGAACTTTCTTAGAATGAGTCACGTGAGATTGAATTAATGGACAAATATTAAAAACAAGATGAGAAAAATAGCAACGACCTCTTAATTTTAACCCATTAGAAAAATAATTATTAATTTTAACTTAATTAGAGTAATAATTCATTAATTTTAATCTAATTATACAAAAATGACGAAAATAAGTAAATATTTATAACCACATATTTTAATATGTTAAACGATCTATAGTCATAATTTTTTAATAGAGGAACCTTCGCTGTTGAAATTAAGAGAAAAGTTCTACAATTTTCTCTTATTTCTAGCAGGCGTTCTCTCTCGCTTTACTTTTCAGTTCTACGCCGCTGATCAAAAACCAACCCAAAAAGCTTCCAATTTTCAATGGTGACCATCGCAGAGAAAGACGAAGACCAGCACCGCCGAGACCCGAAACTGAAGCGGTCGTCACCAGAAGAGATCAAGCCAACTCCACCACCAAAACCCACATCGCCGACGCCAAAGCCACTGCAAAACGCCCAAAATCCTTTCGCTTTTTGGTTCTACTTCACTCTCATAGTCTCTTTCGTCACCGTCTTCTTCATTTCTCTCTCCTCTATCTCCACGCAGGACCCAAAGTCTTGGTTTTTGAGCCTGCCGGCCGCTCTCCGCCAGCACTACTCGAAGGGTCGCACCATAAAGGTACAAACTCATCCGAATCAGAATCCGGTTGAAGTTTTTTGTACTGAGAAAGGTTCTGTAGGATCGGAAAATGTAGTTATTGTTCATGGCCTGGGGCTTAGTTCTTACTCTTTTCGAAAAGTTGTTGAATCTTTGCGGTCCAAAGGGGTTTGTGCGGTTGCGTTTGATTTGCCCGGAAACGGGTTTTCGGACAAATCGGTGGTGGAGGTTGGAGAGGGGGAAAGCGGGATTTTAGGGAGATTTTGGAATGTGTATGGTGAAATTCAGGAAAAGGGTTTGTTTTGGGCATTTGATCAGATAATTGAAACAGGGCAGATTCCGTATGAAGAAATTGAAGCTCGGGTTTCGAAGCAGAAGGTTTTGAGGCCAATTGAAATGGGTCCTGATGAGATTGGTAAGGTGTTGGGGCAGGTAATTGAGACGACGGGTTTGGCCCCTGTGCATTTGGTGTTGCATGATTCAGCTTTGGGGATGGTTGCAAATTGGGTTTTGGAAAATGCGGGATCGGTGAGGAGCGTAACGCTCATTGATACCTCACCCAGATCGACAGGTGCTTTGCCTTTGTGGGTTTTTGGAGTGCCAATGATTAGGGAGTTTGTGCTGAGGTTTTCACATGCTTATACTTGGTTGATTAGGTTGAGTTGCTCTAGGGGGATTGATGTTTCGGATGTCGATGCGCATAGACTTCTATTGAAGAGTAGGGATGGGACAAGAGCCATTGTTGGAATGGGAAAGAAGTTGAATCATAGCTTTGATATAGCAGAGTGGGGCGGCTCGGATGGATTGAAAGGTGTGCCAATGCAGGTGCTTTGGTCTAGCAGTTGGTCCAAGGAATGGAGTGAAGAGGGAAACCGTGTTGCAAGTGCACTTCCACAGGCAAATTTTGTCATGCATTCCGGTGGGCGGTGGCCTCAGGTGAGGATTCGATATATTTATGAACTACCGCTTGATTTTCTTGTATGTGATAAGACCGAAAATCTCAATATTTAGGATAAATTTGGCTAGGTCTTGGTTTCCTTACAATAATACTTTTACAAATTCTAAATGGTAGAAAAATATGAAATTCATATAGCAATTAAACTTGTGTCCGGTGAACACTAGACAATGTCTCTGTTGTATTCTGAAATTGTCTTTGTACTGCATGTAAGTAGAATAATACGACTTCAAATTGCGATAGAAGATTAGGATCTAATGGTATATTCAGAGAACAGCATCAGTTGCTGGGTGGACGAGGCTAGGTTTTGAATGGCTAGCCTTGATTTAAAATCAATGTAACCAGATATTGTAAGTCAAGAAGCTGGCGGTTGGTTTATGGCAACGTTAAAAGGCTTCTGCTTCTAAGTCTTGAATCTACAGCATTGACCATACAGAATATGTACTATAGTTACAACTTATTAAGCTAGCAATTATTTTGAAAATTCAGGATTAGACTGAGTTCAATGACGTAACATTGTTTGGACTTAACTACAAATCTATGATTAAAAAGAATGTTGACAAATTTCATCTCAACGATATGCAGTGTATTTGGATTAACATTCAATATGATGCTATTAATGCACTCAAAATACCAAATGATGTTTCCTACTTTAAAGCTAAAGAGTTTGATTTTAATTTCCATTTTTATGGGTCAACTTCGTATTGTGTTGAACAACTTGACAAGTAGTTCAAGAAATTCCTCTGTTGCAAGGTCTTCTCACTCATCGGTTGTGGAAGTTCCATTGAGCTGTTTTTTTTTTTTTTTCTTTGGTTAATGTAGGAGGACGCAGCTGATGAGGTAGCTGAAAAGATTGCTTATTTCGTGTCCTCATTGCCTGCAACTGTCAGAAAGGTTGAGGAAAAGCCGATCCCCGAGCATATTCAGAAGATGCTTGATGAAGCAAAAAGTAGTGATCATCATCACCATGACCATGGCAATGGGCATCACCACCATCATAGTCACGGAGCTAGTTATCCTGATGCGTACGGTCTTGGCCACGGTCATGGATGGGCAAGTTGATGAGTTTTATTTTGTTTTCAACTTTTTTCCCAAGTCAGCATGCAGTTGAGGTAGAAATTCAATTTTTGGCCATTGGACTAATCCTTTTGCTCTGCCATCAACGCTCAGAAATTTTTATCTGCCGTACAAGATTCGTCGATGAAGACGTTTGTTCTGCTGAATCTATGAAGCTGTGATGTATTGTATTTTGTATTCTAAATTTAAGAAAGGAAGCTGGTTGATAGGTATGTAGTAAGACCTCACATTTGCAGATTTATAGTGTCTTTTGATGATTCCTCTCTCCCATATAATTTTCGTTTGCCAGTCCTTCTTTTCCCATTTAAATTTTCCTCCGCTTTATGTAATGAGGAAAGTAGATTTTTGGTCCTTGTAATCTGGTTGAAGGGTCACTTAAAAAAAAACAAAACAAAATAAAACAAAACTTAAGCACAATATTACAAAGAAAATTTACAACCACGCACCTTATATGACTGTTAGATAGTTTAAACGGATGCCTAAGATATAAGGTTCTAAAAAACGTTAGATGCTAGTCGGTTGGCAAGCTGAGGGCCTAGCTCCTAGGTGGGGCTTAGGCGGAGGCCTAGGCGGACTAAGCAGGTTTGAGTAAATTATTATATATCATACAAATAGTATCTATTTTCCAACTTATCAAACAATTTGACCTTAATCGAAACGACTGGTCACCGCCCACCGCCTAGGCCGATTTTTAGAACACTATTAAAATAAGCATTGTTTCTTAATTTTCGAACACCTAAAAATTAATCGAGTGGTGGTCATATTTTTATAGAACTTGACTATGGGTCGTTGGTAAATTTATAATTTTGTAAAATATATTTCATACAAACAATAATAATAATAATTAAAACAAGGAAAATTTAATAAAATAAAAAACAAGCCTAGATAAATTTTCATCAGTTAAAAAAACAAATAATAAATATGGCAGAAGCTGGTTCTGTTTTATTGACCGAAACTAATTTGAACTTCCTCTCCCCCAAACGACAATGGGTTGCTGCGGAGACGAAGAAAACGACGACGACATCCACAATCCTCCCAACGCCGGCGCCGACACCACCTCCACCCAAACCCTCGGCGAATACTCCGACTCTACCACCACCATATCCACGATGAACTCTCACTTCCCGGCCTTGACTTACCGCGACACCCTCCTCCTCATCTTCGAGAAGCTCCCGATTCCCGACCTCGCTCGCTCCAGCTGCGTCTGCCGAGTCTGGAACTCCGTCGCCTCCGATCAGGAGATCGTCGATAAAGCCTTCAAGTCCCCTTGGAATCTGAAGGAGGTGCTTGGAAAGCCCTCGTCTTTAAGCTTCTGGAGGGACAATTCGATCGGAAAATTCGCCATCTCGCACCGGATTGTCCGCGGCGACAGCGTCGCCAGCCTCGCCGTCAAGTATTCCGTCCAGGTACGCATGCCTTTTGGTTCTTATCATCTGTTTGATTGCCGAGAAAATGAAAATGCAAAACACTTTTAGGCCAGTTTGGGAATGCTTCTGTACGAAGCACAACTTAGAAGTGCTTTTATTAAAGAAAAAGAAGTCGAAATATTTGTTGAAAATGCTTCTTGGAAAAGCAACTGGAAGTGCTTTTAAGCCCAAACGTAGTATTAATTCGATTTGTTTCAGGTGATGGACATAAAACGATTGAACAACATGATGAGCGAGCACGGAATATACTCTCGGGAGAGATTGCTGATTCCGATAAGCAACGCGGAGATGCTTTCGGAGGCAACCTGCTATGTAGAAGTGGATAATTATGCAAAGAGAGAAGTGGCTGTGTTGTATTTGGAAGGCGGCCCCGACCCGAAAACCATCGGCAGCAGCAGTTCTTCATGCTCTGTCTTGCAGACCAAGAAAAGAGTGGTTGAATCACTGAGGAGAAGTCTGCAAGTAGATGATGCAACTGTGAACTACTACTTGTCCATTTCCGGCGGGGATCCAAGAGCTGCAATCTCTCAGTTCTCCCAGGACCTTAGGTGGGAGACCCACACTCACCCCGGCTTTGCTTAGGGCTCATCCGGGACTGCTTCTGTCATAAGCGCTTCTGCCAATAGCGCTTCTGCCAAGTGAATTTCAACTTGTAATGCTTGTTCTATCAGCCAATGAATCAAATTCAAATGTGTGCAAGTCCTGTTATTTGTAATTGTAATATTGGCACAAAGCCTTTGGAAATAGAGAATCTTGTTCATCATTTCGTTTTTCGATTAACAACTATCGTTCATGAAATTTGAACTCAAAATCTCCCCCAACAAAGTGGAGACTAGACTTTATTCCATTGCATTTCCCAGAATGGGCAGATTTCTCAGATACAAAGGCAGATCAAGATCGCCGATAAATGCATGGATAAACTTCCCCCTATAAATTGTACTACATGTAGATACTTCTACGGGTTTACCTATGTTTCATTTCATGTTTTATATGTACAAACTGAAACAGAGATAAACGGGTGGAAGCTACGGGAGAAGTAATCATGGCAGATACAAAAATTTCTGCGCTAAACTCCGATGATGTGAATACCAGAAAAGGGAAAGAAAAAAAAATAAAAAAATCAAACCGGAACAGCCTCCGGAAAATTCAATCAGAGGCTTGGCTGCAACCGGCGCTACTTTTATGTTTGGATGTATGCAGATTGCTGGACAATGCAGTCAGCTCCTTTTCATGTTCTTCCTTGAGAACGCTTTGTGCACTTGCCGTCACAATCTTGAGGAAGAAGTTCATGAGCATGAGCCACACAACTGTGTTCCAAATAGAACTAAATGATAAGTCCCACTTTTTCTCCTGAAAGCAGAAAATGGGGAAAAACATATGTTAAGGGACAAGCATAGTCGTTTATTAAGTACTCGAAACAGAAGTACAAAAATCCTTAGGTTCAGTAACATGTATACAGAATTCAATTTACCAACTAGCTAATGGATTATGTTTCCCCACTTTCGGTCCAAAATATACCCAAACACTTTTTGTCGGAAATGAACTTTATACACAACTTATATGGATACTAAAGCCGTAATTCAGAAAACACTACCTTGCTGTTTGAGGGGACTGGAGGTGAGGCGTGTACATACTTGTCTTTCACAGTATGTAGTTTGCTGATGAGGTCGGGCACAACCGAACCAAATCCAGGGAAAAAGCCAAACAACCAAATCAATTTATTTTCTACCAAGTCGAGAAGCTGATTGTTGCAAACTGAGATGATGAAAACTGTCTGCAATTACAGGGCAACATAACCACTTCAATATATGTAAACTCGTGCATTGTTCAATGCAAGTAACTTTAAAATAGTAAAGGAACCTCGGTAAGCATGTTCTGGAGAAATAAAATCAAAACCGTGTTTAAACATCTGATTGGATGGAGCAGGATCCAATCCGTGATGCACGGATTTCTTAGAAACAGTTCTTAGAACTCACTATAAATGAAGCAAAACACCACAAAATAACAAGAGAAAATCTGTGCCAGTATGAGTTTACAAGTTAGCAAACCTGTATGTGAGTTTTAATAAATGCCTTTCCAATCAATGTTGCTAGAAAGAACGTCCAAAACCGAATGCCAAATTGTCCACACAATATTCCAGCAAGGTCAAATAGAGGGTTGGGCACCTGAAAATTATTTTGGAGAAGCACCTTAAGATGTCTTAAAACCAATTTTAAGAAAAAAATAAAAAAGAGAAGTATAGTGCACTGCAAAAGGGAATTAAGTGCAACATGTGTTCAAAGAATGTTGCAACACCATGGGTATAATTAGCATTAAGAAAGAAAAATTACCGAAGCAAGAACTAATATAGTTAAAAAGTTCAGATATTGTGTATGCGAAAGAAGCCATGATTTCATCCGGTTGAGGCGGTTAGCTACCATTCCACTACCTTCAGTTGAGGAAGAATCCAGCTCTTTCATGACTTCCAACTTTTGACCAGATATACTAGCTGCAATTAAGAAAGAGAGATTCAAAATTTTGTTCATGGAAAAATTAGTGATTTGAAACTTCTAAACTATCCAACTCACTCACCCTTACAGTATGTAATCATGTTAAACAATCAGGAAAATGATCCGGACTTATAAAGGGCCAAGAAAGAAGTACCAAAAAATATTTCTAAAGGTGACTAGTAACTATATCTTCTTGATATGCATAGATGTAAATAAGCATATAGATTATTGTGATGATAAAACTAGACTAGATGAGGTTTTTCGAACAGGTTGTTCCTGACTAGAAACTGTTTACTACAACTTAACAAAGGTTACAGAGCTGATCGAGAACATACCTAAATAGTGAGTGTAAGAACATAGATTGTTGTTTGTACTTACCAGCTCTTGATATGAAATACGGAGGAAGCTCTCCCAGTGCAGTTCCGACTCCCCATAGAATAGCCTCTAGCTGAACCTGAGGCAAAATGCTGCTAAGAGGAACCCTTGAACCATGCTGTGACAAGAATAGGGGGGCGCCATATTCAGAGCATTCTCTGTCCACCCATGAAGGACCACTTCTCCATTGAATGGTGTCATAGGGGGCACCTTTTATGTCAACTCTGCCACAGTCCACGGCTTTCATGGTAAAAAGAGCTATATGAGGCCCCAAATACAGCACAAACGTGTGCAAACCAGATCCTGCATAGAATAGCGATATAACAAAATCATTCAGAGTTGTGTTCACAAGTGCATTCTTCTCTACAACATAATTTTAGAAGAAAATGATTTGCTTGTATCATTCTGAATTGTTACTTATGCATTTTGGTTCAGTTTGTAAAGCAAGTAAGATTCTATAGGAGAATTTGGAACCAGATCAAATCCATCGACCAGAAAGTCACAGTTTCATGCTATTCGGAATATAACTCATACTTACCAAGACCAATTGATGATGCTACACCAAGAGCCAGCCACCAGAGACCAAATTGGAGATAACGAATAAGCTCCCAAACATGCTGCATTGCGATCAATCATAAAATCAATAAAGCCTTTAAATCATCAACATTATGAAAGAAACATGCCCAATAATGCAAATACAACGCAACATTGATGGGAAATCTTTATCTCAACAACTTAGACAAACAAAACTAGGCAATCTAAATCAATGAAATATCGGTTACTCTAACTAAAAATCTAAATGCACCTACAGAAAAATGTTCCCACGAAGTTAATACCTCTCGTTGAGGTCCACCAATTGTCATAGTAATCACTCCTATACCTCCTGCTAACATAATTAGAAGCACAAACCAACCACCTTTCGCCATGAACCGCCGAACATATTGGCCAACAGCCAAATTGA